TGCCAACATCGGCCCAATGTTCCTATTGATGTTGGTCAAACAATGTCGCATTTATTTGGCCAATGTTGGCGCGACGTTGGGCCAATATCTGTAGAAATAACACTCTACACTGAGCCAACGTTGGCCCAACACATCGGGCCAACATTGGGCCGATGAGCAAACTTAAATTGGGTCAATGTCATTTGCCAACATTGACCCGATGTAACCGATTACATTGGCCCAATGTTGGCCCAATGTTAGCATGCTGTCTGGGACAGTGTTGACCCAACAGCACCTGGCCTCTGCACTTCCCCGTGTCTGCTTTGCGCAGATTTGTACATGATATCGTTTAAAAACTAAACATTAATTCAGCTGTGCCGAGGCAAACATATTATAAATACTTACAAAATGGATGCAGATATGCAAGGTATCAGTCTCATTACGCTCGCTCGTGTCAGATAAAAAATGGCGCGGATATTACAAGTAGCCCGGTTGTTGTCTACCCATGATGCTCAGTCAGATTCATGGTATATTGGGCCAACGTTAGGCCGATGCCAATCCCCAAACAAATATTTTCTCTCATGATAATAATTTTATGATATAATGCGAACAGTTAGCCCAACATTAGCGCACCATTATACATAACCAGCTATTGATAATCCATGTTGGGCCATTGTTGGCCCAATGAAGGTAACCCAACATAGATAATACAACCATAATGTAAGATTGGGCCAACGATGTTCGGCTATCTGGTTTATTACAAATAAATATAAATATACAATTTTATAATTAGCTGCTGAGCTTTACGTTGGGACAACGTTGGCACATTCTGAACATACTTTCTATGTCTATGCTTATCATTGGATGACTGCTCTTGTTTAGATATGATATTTTCAACATTTTAACTTTGCACTTAGGTGATCACAGCACCAAAGAGTGTTTTATTCTATTTTTTGAATTGTGTTTATGCTTGACACCATCAATTAATTGGCAGTATAATAATTGGGCCTACGTTGGCCCTATATAAATATCCCATCTTTTAAACACCTAAACAAAATAACACGTTTGTATTACAAACATTGTGCCAATGTTGAGCCAACATACTGCTACCAACTTGATAGGACACGTTCTTTAAGGGTGTATTAGAAACAATGGGCCAACGTTGGACCAACATAATACTATCAACTTGATAAGACATTTTCTCTAAGGGTGTATTAGAAACATCGGGCTAACGTTGGGCCAACATACTACTTGAACTTGATATTTTGCACTTTCTTAAAGGGTGTATTACAAACAATGGGCCAACATTGGGCCAACATAATACTACCAACTTGATAAGACATTTTCTTTAAGGGTGTATTACTAACAATGGGCCAACGTTAGGCCAACATAATACTATCAACTTGATAAGACATTTTCTCTAAGGGTGTATTAGAAACATCGGGCCAACGTTGGGCCAACATACTACTTGAACTTGATAAAGCACTTTCTTAAAGGGTGTATTACAAACAATGGGCCAACATTGGGCCAACATTATATTACCAACTTGATAAGACACATTCTTTAAGGGTATATTACAAACTTCGGGCCAACGTTGGGCCAACATACTACTACCAACTTGTAAATATACTTTTCTTTAAGGGTGTATTATAAACATTGGTCCAACGTTCGACCAACACCAGGATCCTTCCTTCCTTGGAAACTAAAGTGAATGGAAGTTGCTTACGTTGGACCAACGTTGGGCAAACATAGGAATTCCTTCATGGTCGACAAGGTTGACTTGGTAACATTGGTCCAACGTTGGCCCAACGTTGTTTCCCCAACGCCAACCATACAACCTTTTACAAATGTTGGCCCAACATAGTCATGCTATCTGGGAAATTACATTATGAAATTAAAAGTAGTATGATCCGTAGTTTTTAAAACTTTTACATCATTACGCAGTATTTTTTTTATATACGGTGTGATATTAGAGATAAATCTAATTATCATTACTTGATGAGCGTATGCAAGATTGACTTATTTGATTGACTCATCATCAACTTGATGTTGATGATGACGATGATACAATTTTAAATATAACAATTTTTCCCCTTCCCATGCTTCTATGTCGATTGAATCGAACATGATTAGGGCGTTTTATTTGTTCGCATAACAAAGAATTGAGCATAAACCTGTTTACCGTGTGTAAAGGTAGGTAACATATTACAAAAGTTGTATACGACGAGTTGTATACAACTTGTATTACCGTGTAAACCGGTCTTAACAGCACTATACTACTGTATATGGTGAGAATGAAATTATGGTACGCCATAAGCAACAAAGTGAAATTAAATGAAAATTGTGACACAGACCAAAATCGTTTCAAAAGCACATGATCGAACGTCCTTAAAGAGGAATGTCACAACAACTTTTTAATTTCATAGATCTCCGAGTAAATGTTTTTAAACAATGGTTAAAGTATTGAAAAGTCGACATTATCTCTTATTTTCTTTGATTTTTTTTTCACAGAAAATTAAAAGAAATCTATTTACATCCAAATCAGATGTTTTCTTGTAAAAAAAAATATCTGTAAATGAATGCATCACATGACTACATATTCAAATATGTTAAGAAACGCCATATAGATATTTAAATAATTAAATAAAAACAATATATACGACAATGAAACATATAATTTGTGTATATTATTTTTTTGAAATTTCGGTTAAAATCTTCTTAAAATCAGTCGTAATTGGAAAAATCATACCGTATAAGTGGAAATTTTAGCGAGATGCAAATTTAGCGATTTGTCCTTAAAAACTGGCGATTTATTTATAGCGATATGTTATTTTAGCGATTTTTAACTGTATATTTAAGAAGTTATTAAAAAAAAACGCAATTAATTTTTAGCGATATTCAATTTTAGCGATCTCAGCGCCCTCGCTAATAATGCCAAAATTAAATTCTTGCTAAAATTTCTACTTATACTGTACTCAGTTTTCATATTTATCAAGAAATTGAAACCAATTAGCCAAATTTTAAAGAAATTCATTTGTTTTGCCAGTCTCGTTCAAACTTAAACAGATCCCAACGATAATGATAACAGTCACTGTGCATTGACAATCAAATAATTTCTATATTGTAGATATATGAAAAAGGCAATTAATTATAGCTTATTCTTTTTGTGTTAATTTTGATCAGGATCAGTTAAATAATGTTGACAGGTTAGGTTAAAAAAATAGTGACTTTCTAAAGTTTTCTCAATTTAACTTCAACATCTTTTTAAAACATGATTGACAAACATGTTCTTCTCAGTTGTGAATAGTTTCATTGTGTTTAACTAGGTTTGAAAATATTAAAAAATAATGTGTTTTATATTCACAAATAATTTTAAAAACACATATATAACAGTCAAGCCTTTCTTTACATATTTTATTTCAAATTCATATCTTGCATTCATTTACTGCACACTTTTAACTTGAAAACATCTTAGTTGGATATGAATACGTTTTAAACATTTTCTTTGAAAACGTGCAAAATTAAATATCAAAATGATTAAGAGCTTACATTGGCCTTTCAATGCTGAAACCATTGTATAGGGTGATTCAAAGATGTATAAAATAAAAAAAAGGGTGTGGTATTCCACCTAAAAGAGACATTAAATAATTATGAGAGATGAGGAATTTTATTTAAGCATTCCTTGGTATTATTGGCAAATCAGTAAATAATATGAATATAAATGATGTTTATTAAAATTTCTACAGTATATTTTTAAATAACTACTGATATAAAAATCGGGAATTTAAAATTAAATGCAGAATTCAAATTGAATTGTCCCCTTTCAGTGTTCATTTCCTGATGATATAGAATTTTGACAACATGGAGAAGATAGGATTCACCTCGCAGTATAAAGTGCGGCAGTGTTCGAAGTGTCAAGGGTGCATAGAATTTTACTGCTACACGTGTAAACATTATCTGTGTGTATATTGTAATGAAAAACATTCTAGAAACACGTGTTATAAATATCACAAAGTGGTGTTCTTTACCACTCGAAATGGGGATAAAAACTTAACGACACAATGTAATGTACGACTGTGTTCAGAATGTCATAATGACGTAGAATTCTACTGTTGTGGAAAAGAATTGTGTGTAAAGTGTAAAGATAGACATGCTTTCAATTTAGAAACCAAATTTCATGATATTGAGATTTACCGTGAAAGACACTCAAACGTTTTTGAGTATGATACGAAACGTAAAGAAATGATTTTTAGATGTAAGAAATATAAACAAGAACCATGTTTCAAGCATCCAGAAACAATGTTTGAAACATTCTGTATCTCCTGTGGAGTTCCCGCGTGTGTTTTATGTAAAGAGCACAGAAAACCAAAAATATTTCCTTCCTTTCTCAAATGGATAAGACACAGAAAACATAACATAGTGGAAATTAGAACTGCATATGAAACAGGCCGAAAACAACACAGAAAAATAATTTGCAAAATTAGAGGTGAAATACTGTATAACAACTGTTTTCTCCTCGACGAAATCAAATCAGACTTAACAAGATGTCACAGACAAATTTACGATCACAAATTAGAGATATCTAAGAAAGCCCATAGGATAAAGGAGCTTCTTGACACTTTGATATGTGGTGTTGAAGTGAGACACAAACGTTTCATTCAAAGTTTAAAACAACAGAAAAGAAACATTTTTGATCAACTTTCCAGCATAGTTAAATATGAACAAAAAATTGAAATCTTGGTAAACAGACCAGTAAAGTTGTTCTTTTTCCTGAGGAGAAGTGGCGTCCCTAAGATAAAGGAAACTCCTAATATAACACGACACGCCCTGGTCATGAATGAAGAAAACAAGGAAGATGTTATCATGCTACTGAGTCAAATTCAAATTTCAGAAACAGGAAAAAGGCATGTAAGAATTGAAAGTACATTAAAACCTATGTCTACAGCTGTGTTTCATGACTCTTTCATGGTAGTTAATTCCGGCGTGATACATTTTTCACTCTTGCAAAAAGGCAGTATTTGGATCAGTACTCCTCAGGGCAATCTCTATTATACTAATCGGTACGGTGAGTCAGATCATGAAATTGTTGGAAAACATCAATGTTATAGAGGAGAACACACATTGAATATTAACGATGAACTTATTTTCATAGGCAAGTTTTATAACATTTACAAGCTATCGAGAGATTTAAGACAAACGTCTACGCTGATAGAGAAAAAAAGGCCATGGGAACCGTTCTGTGTCTACTGCTCCCCATTAAATGGAGATCTATTGGTTGGGATGCGTAACATTGAAACTAAAAAAGGCAGGGTAGTATTGTACAGCGACAAAGGACATCACATACAGACTATGCAGCACGACAACACAGGTCAAGACCTGTATAGCGTACCTAGATACATCACGGAGAATCGCAATCGAGATGTTATTGTGTCTGACTGGCACCATGGTGTGGTAGTGACAGAACGTTCGGGTAAACATCGCTTCTCCTACAGAGGACCTACCTCAAGACATCGACTACTTCCATGTGGAATCTGCACAGACCCACTCTCAAATATTTTGGTCTGTGATGCAGGGAGCCACACAGTTCATTTGGTTGACGTGGATGGTAATTTCCTTTCGCTGATACTAACACAACAGCATGGAATAAATATACCATACTGCTTGGGTTATGATGACAAAAATAACCTTCTCTTGCTTGGATCATCGCATAATACGATAAAAGAATATCGATACATATGTAGAAAGGACTGCCTAAAAGGTAATTTGTACATTCACTTAAATTTGATGCTTTTTTAATGCGCAAGTTTTTCGAGATCACGTAAACAAACAGTTTGGTCAGATATTAATGTATCATATGTTACATTGCATCATCGATATACTCATTTATCATAACTACATGATTTTCAGGATGCACTCTTCAACTCGAGAATAACCGAATTGATGTCAAAGCGTCATTTTTAAAGAAATAAAAAAAAAATTGGGGAAAAAAGAAAATTTCAGCAAACCTTAAAAGTTATTACTATTGAATAATTTAAAGTATTCATCGCCATTTTTTATTAAAACAACTAACAATTCTATTTTTTCACATACATACATACATTTTAACAGATTTTTTTTTACGGTGATCACTCAATTTTTCATATCATTAAAGAATGTGGGTTTGACTAGTTTTATCCAATGTGATGGAAATTTATTTATGTGTTTGCCATGTCAATCTAATAAAATGAACCGTATGATTTTTTCCGTTATTTCCTGATCATGACAAGGAGTAAACGGAGGGCGTGACCGGTCGGCAAGGGATGCTCACTTCTCCATGGCACCGAATCCCACCTCTAATGTTTTGGAGGTACGTGTTTGTATTTTTCATTGACTTTGAAATTGAATGTTTTTTGTTATCTCCATATCCTTCATGTATAAAACAGATTTTTCAATCCCAGCGAAGAGATACATTTTTGAAAATCCCCATGTCGTTTCATGGCTTTCACCCCACTGTATGTCTAGTTTTTATTATTAGTTAGGAGTACATTCCTTATACTAGAGTAATTAAATAAATATTGCAACATACAGTATATCATAATAAATGTTGATCCATTAAATTTTATTTTTTTAACAGTTGAAAAGTTCTATTAAAGAGGTCCTAAACACAGAAAACCCTTTGAATTTTCCTATTGTCTTTTTTGTGTCATCTGCCCTTAATTGGGGTAGTGGTTTACATACTCATTAAAATGGTATGGTTCGTTTTCTGAATGATGCGCTTAGTTTTGGTCACGGTGCTTTTCTTAACTGCACAGAAAGCTAATTGCACGGAAAAGGTTCGTTTAGATTCTGAAATGATTATATGTAGCACATTTAAGGGTCTTATGTTGTCTAAAACTATAATGACAAAATATCATTACAAAATGAAAATACATTTTTTATTGTTTCTTTCTCATTTTTACAAGAGGCTCAGCCATCAAACAGATGCACTGGTTACGGTACTTCAAATCAATCAAATATTTTTGAAAATATGTTTTTCAAAATTACTTTGTCCATAGAAACAAAATTGGAAATTCATTTTGGTGCAGATATGTATTTAACACAATTTGTGTTTAAAATGGAATACATTGACTTTTTCTGACTAAAGAAGTAATGCAAAGTAACAAGAGGCCCATGGGCCACATTGCTAACCTGAGCAACTGAACCACAAAAAGCAAAACTAAGTTGAGTAAGTTTATATATAAATGTGGGTTAAAGAGGGAGGGTTTAAATTTAATAATCTTATATCTATACTTTTTACGCTTCTGTAATGACGATCAATCATGGCTTTATTGTTTTTGTCAAGAATTTTAGCGATTTCTCTTCTATGTATTCCTACATAAAACCTTGATCACCCATTGTAACCCTACTCTACCCCGGGGTCCTTTTTTAACAAACTTGATTCTACCCAACCTAATTATGCTCCCATATATTGATATGAACAATAACAGCTTTGCTGTTCTCTAGACGAGGAATTTCAAAGACTGTTTTGATATCCTTTTAGAACTTTTTTCAACCTCTATGATCCCATCCTTCATAATTTGAATAGCTTGAATCCACACTATCCGATGATGCTGTCATAATACTTTGGCTTAATTGTTCTTGGGAAGAAGATTTTAGTGTGTTTTTTTCTATTTATTGCTTTGTTAAATGTTAATACCCCATTGTGTCCCCACCTTAACCAAAAAGGTCACAATTTGAACAAACATGAATCTTCACTACCAGGGGATACTTACTTACAATTATGAATAATTAGGGCTTTCCTGTTTTTCAGAAGATGATATCATTTGTAAAGCGTTTTTCTATGTATTTTTATGTTAAACATTCAGACCCCATCGTGGCCCACCCTGCTCCCAGAAGAATTGGAAGTAACTTGACTCTACATTACTAGGGACTGCTTTCATGACTAAACATAGCTTTGCCGCTCTTGACAAAGACATTTCTAGAGATTTTTCCTACATGTATGTTTTCCTGGTCACGGTAACCTTGGTGTAGAGCGTTGGCTTCCTGATCGGGAGTAACTGGTTCAATTCTTGTTCGTGGCGCCGCGTAAACATAGGTAGTTCCTGTTCTTTAGCTAAACGCTCGGCATCAGTAGTAAAAGTCACGGGTCTTTTGGATTTGACCTTAAAAACATAGGTTCTGTGTAACGTTAGGCGTTGGCACCTTAAAGAACCCACACTGTTCGATGGCCTTAAGTGCTGAGTATAGGTAGAAGGATATGGAGATTACAAGTAGTATTCAATCTCAAATTCCATAAACAAAACAAAAGAAGAACATAGCAAACGCGGACCTCCAAAACATCAGAGTTGGGATCAGGTGCCATGGGGGAGTGAGCTTCCCCTGCTTACTGGTCAGACCCACCGTGTTCTACTTTTTATCATGATCAGGAAATAACGGGAAAATCCGTCGTCAAGTGTTAATTATGGACTAATTATCAGTATGAAAAACGTACGTCAGCTTTTGACTCAATGAATGCTAAACTGTATTTGCTGACAAGGCCATGGTATCGACCATAAAACGAAATGATGACTTTAAATGAGAAGGCTGATATTCTTGTTTCATCAAGTTGCTTGTCAATAATTTACCTCGTTTTAGAAATTGTTCGTAGAGAAAGCCCTTGCATATCGAATCATCTGAGATATATACACTCAGTATGCATATGCATGTGGCCCGCCAAAATATGACTGAAATATTGCCGACTTGGCGTTAAATGAAATCAATCAATCATATGCATGTGATGAAGGTATATTGCTGCATAAGTAAGGGAAGTTGGCGATAGAAAAGTTTAAGTCATCACGTTTATCATATCCTGTCTTGTCTGTGCGTTTTGTTTTTAAAGAAATACGCAGGCACTTGCATTGATGTCATTTAATGACCATCAATAGTCATAGTCGTGCGGAGAGCAACAGAAAAAAAGGACTGTCAGTAGTTTGAAATCAAATTCTTAATGATTATAAACAGAACATATAAATAATCAGTACAATTTATAATCACCCAATCTCCTATCCCAACTTCTACTTAAAAAAGAAAAAATACAATTATATTTGAAATGCAGAATAACAGATGTCAGATAAATGCAGTGCTTAAAATATTTTACAGTCTATGCATCTTAAATGATATTTAGCAGAAAATGGCTCATTCGGTAACTTACATGTAGTTTACTATGATAATAATGTTTTCATAAACTTTCTGGCTGGTTACACTTTAGTCAAGTCAAGAGTTGAATTACTTAACATCTGAATATTAATCATGTGTTATTTTTTAGACTTACATTTATGATGTAAGAAAAGAGTATTAACCGAAAAGGGTCTACTCCAAGAGGGAGTTCTGTCTCAAAAACATAAAAGAGAATTAATGGGAAGAGGATGACATCAATAAATCTTTTTTATTCTTACAGAATTTCACTCTATTGATGAGTGGAAGAATGACTGGAAAGATGCACTCATTTCCTTTCGAAAAGAGCATTATGCTTCTGCTGTCTTTCAACTTAATTCATTACTTGATTGAGAGGTCTCCTAAGTTTCACGGGCCATGAGACGTAAAAAGTATGTATCGTATAATCACCCATTTACATGTTATAACAAGGTACTAAAACAAGATAATTCTTTTAAGGATTTGTTTATTAAAACTCTAGTCAAGTGATTGCTATTTTTGAATTGAAGCAACGTCATCGGATGCTTGGCTCGATCGATTGTTATGTATGATCAGTTTGTTATTGATTAAACAAAAAAAACGAAAACATTTCCCTTAAGATTCGATTTAAAATGAACAATTTATTATTTTATTTCTGTTTAATACCGAAATTGAGGTTTTTATTTCAGTCATCGCAGCGAGCATGTTCACTTTTATCACATAAGATATTGATCCACAAAGTCTACTAAATACAGTCAGAAAAGGACGACATTTGTGTAAGAAAATTTGCTACGAAATATGATTTTCTCGCAAATGATGAGAACGACGACGAATTGGAAAATATTTTTACTTTTCAGGAGGAAGTATGATATACAATTACATGTAATCAATTCAATATACCAGTTACTTCCATATTCCATACAATTAATACAGATCGCCTTTTCATGTAAAAATAGTGTGTTGTTTTTTTTATATAATGGAACGACAAAAATTTACATTGATTTTTTTTCAAATATGATTATATTATATTATGTACAAAAAATAAATATAATCATTGTATTCAGCTATTTGAGAAATTATTCAGTCTGAGGGTTAAAGGCCTAGGTGATTTTTAAATTTTAAAAAAGTAAATACGCAAGAGATATAAAAAGTTCCGTTTTTATAGGACGAATAAAGATTATATTAATATCACCCTCTCAATCAGCTTTAAAAGGTCGTCTTTTACACACAACAGACTTGGTAACCACGTTAAAAGGTGATTAAGTGTAAGAAAGATATGGAGATAATGAACAGTTTTCAATACCAAAGTCCATAAATTAGTCCACAAAATAGAAGCACAACGTGTGCTCCTTGTCATGATCAGGAAATAACGCAAAATACATCGCCAATTCGGTATATAATGGACCAACAATAAGCATGAAAACTATCAGTCAGCATTTGACAGCATGTGATAATTGTATTTGTTGACAAATCATTGTATCGACCATAGAACTAACGAAAAGATGGCTTTAAAGGAGACAGCTGATATTCTTGTTTCATTAACTTGTTGGCAATAATTTACCATGTTTTGCACATTTGTTATACCTTTACAGCAAGCTCTTGCATATAGAATCAACTGAAATACTTTCGCTCCGTATGTATGTGTTGAAAGTATATTGCTGCATAGGTAAGGGAAGTTACGATAGAAAAGTAAAAGTAATAAGGTTTATCGTAGAGTTTGCTTGTTCGATTACCATTACCGTCTTTTTCAAGTAATATATCCAAGGATTAAACAGATGTGTCAGACTCTGTTGTATTTTTTATCCCAAGCTCACCAGGATATCTCGTTTCGACATAAGAATGAAAATTATATATGTTGATAGACAATAACTCGTGTATTTAAATGTCGATTTAAAGGCCTTAACAAGTATTTACTCCTTATTACGCATAAGATTTGGCACACATTCTGCTTCTTATAAATACAAAGATACGTATGTATTCTTTTCTGGATCATAACAAGGAGCACATGTACTTAACGGGTGTGGCTGCCTTAACAAAAACACTATAGTTAAGGCAGATAATAGCTTTGGGGGAAATAGCAAGAGACCAGTACCCCTCGACCAGGACTATTTATAGGCGCGTCAGGTTATAGTCCTGGTCCTGAGGACGCTGAATCTTGCTAACTCCCTCAATAATATACATGTACTTTAACTGTATAATAAAATGGAGTATTTAAATATAAATATGTTTTGAATACACAATATGTTAAAAGGTTTTTAAGTGAGGGAAAGATGCGAAATAATCATCAGTTATGTTTGAGGGAGTCACATCCGGATACAGAGAAGTGGATATTTCCGTTAAAACCCTAGTTCTCTAATATCAATTGTTTTTGACAAGGAAGAAGATATGTTTTTTTCATTGGATAGTCTTCATTAGCCCGTCAGAAAAGCTACTCAGACGTTCTCTAGATAAAAAAATACATAGATTGTTTATCTGTTTTATTCACCCTAATTAAAAGCATAATCCAAGGAAAAATATTTTTTTTACATGAGTTTCAAATTGTTAATAAAGTGTTTGACTAAAAATAATAAGTACGATGTTTTTGACAAATCTTGTTTTAAATTATTACTTTAAGTGTTGTTTTATCACTGTATAAATAATGTTAGCTGCAATAATGTAGCCCTCTCCGATTTTTTTTTATCTGATATTTTCTGGAGAGGGCTACAATTCCATCGCATCTCCGTAATGGTGCAAATATATTTTTTTGATACGGGTGATTGGAGGCAAAATAAATTATTTTTACATTAAACTTACTTCTTATAAGACGGAATTTTTATTCACTGTCAACAACATAGCCTGTTAAACTCGAAAACCATGTAAAATAAATCTGTGTCTTTCCCAGCTGCAATATTCAGCAGCCATGACAGTTCACGCGTGACGTAGTGAGACTTTCGCTTGAAATTTGGAACAACCAAATAAAGCAAATGTCGATGTTTATAAACGATTGTGCTATAGTATATTACAAAAACATCGATAAATAAAACCATTTCAAGTGTTATTTTTGCGCAAACAGCGATACTTATGCTTAAAATAAGGGAATTTCTAGTAGATCCGCTCCTAAAGAACCTAAATTCTTATTGGCTGTCCCAAAATACAATCCATCAAGGTCAGTAAACATGGCGGATAAATTCAAGTTAAGCTGTTGATACTCACGAAAAATAATTGATATATGGGTCTTTGTGAATATTTTTGGATCGATTTATGTTTTGCATAATTACATATTTGGATTCCACGTAAAAGATAATAATAAAATAGCCGTTTACTGATAATTTGAGCCAAAATCCGTGCGGAAGTGATCCATTGCCGTATCTTCGCCATTATAGACATTAAGGAGTTGTAGCCCTCTCCCCCCCCAAAAAAAAAAAATCGGAGAGGGCTACATTATTGCAGCTAAAATAATGTGTGAACAGTCATACGAATCAGAAAATAAAACATTTCTCGATAAGTGATGTTTGTTTTTTTTTTTAACTTAACATTATTTAAACAATCATATACTCTCCTTTATTGTTAGAACGGGAATGAATGTCGCACCTTTTGCTAAAAAAAATACAACCAAACAATATTTTTTGCAATAGCTGTGACGTTAATTCACCTAAACACAATCAAAGAAAGTCAATTTATTTTTAATATTCACATTTAAATTAAGAAAAAAAGATAATTTTTTGCATGATTGGTACGTACATCATAGTAAGTTTCATTGATGGAACAGGCACTGATCAAGAATTCTGTGTAGGTAACATGCCTAGAACGAATAAACGCCAATGGTTTTCTAAAGAAATGAAGAGAAAAATAATCAGTGGGTGTCAATATATATTTTAATGAAATCAAAAACAATTATTTCACAAAAAAGAAAAATACATAGATCGGAAAGCAATTTCTGGAGAACAATTACAAGTTTCATATGTTGATACTTTTTGGAGATTTAAAGATTATGTTATGCAATTTATTATATTATTTTGATCATATATTTAACATATAATCAAAAACTTAATAGTAATCGGTATTTCCGTCCGTCCGTCCGTTGTTACGCTTTGGGGTACCCATCTCTTGTCTGCAACTCCTCTCATACCACTGAAGGAAATTTAATTAACCTTTCACAGATTCTTAATTACATATTACCATTGTGCACCTGCTATTTTACTTTTTTATCTTACATATATTTTTGATTTTCTAGAGCAAAAGATGAACACTGCCATTATATTCATATGGGAGGCTGAGGGTATCATTTAGTGAGTTCATTGCTCACAGTACCTCTAGTTATTCTTAAAGTTCATTCATTCATCTACATGTATTTATTGATATTTAAAAAAAATTAACACGTTTCCTTGTATCTTATCTATTAACATATTATTGGTAAATATTTGAAGACTTGGTTCAATCGGTCATTCCACAGTTCAAAAATGTGAAATCGTCTTTTATTTTTAATTTATTTTTTTTTAATTTTATTTTTTTAATTTATTCTTGGCATTTCCACAGCATGTAATTAATAATACACACAACTTAATTAAGCGCTTGGACTAAAAAGTGTTTTTCCTTGTGATTATTTGTTACTACGATAATTGAGCTTTTCTCATTTATGTCAATATTTCCATCACATATGAAAGAATTATCCGTTTACCATTTTCTTAATTTTACTTGACTATCTCAAAGGAATCATTATTTTCCAGGTTTGCACATAAGATCAAGAGGGTTGTCTGTATCCATCATAAGTTTCAATTTCCGAAACACATATTTTAGTGGCGAGAAGGGAGGTGAAAAATTACAAAGATCTTCTTTTATGAAGTGAATATGCTTCCCTCATTTTAATTAGGTCACCTGAGTAAACTCAGGTGACCTATTGCTATCTGTTTTCGTCTGTCGTCGTGTGTCGTGCGTCATGCGTCGTGTGTAAACATTTGAACATTTTCAGCTTCTTCTCTACAACCCCTCAACCAATTTCAGCCAATTTTGGCATAATGCATCTGTGGGTGAAGGAGAACAAAATATTTGAATTTAATGGTCCCTGCACCCCTGGGGCCTGAGGGGTGGGGCCAAAACCACTAAAATTAGTGCAATCTTTAAAACATATTTTCTCCTGTGTATCACGTAGTCAAACTGTTGGCATGATTATAATGAGCATTGAGTCCTCTACCAAAATTGTGAAATTCATGGCCGCAGGGTCATAGGTTTTAGTGCTAGAGCGGAGCTATATAGATTATACAGTGAAAATGCGTTAATTCTATGAAAATCTTCTTCTCTGCTCCTGGTTATCAAATGAACCAACTAAGTACATAGTTATGATGAGCAAGAGAGATTCTACAAAAATTGTAAATTTTATGACCCTAGGGTCAGGGATTCTGGTATTTCGTCCTGGCTCTATTGATTATATAGTGAAAATGCATTAATTCTCAAAAAACTTCTTATCTGATTCTGGGTATTAAATTAACCAACTAAGTACATAGTTATAATAAGCAAGAGTGCCTCTACAAAAATTGTAATTTTTTTTGCCCCAAGGTCATGGTTTCTGGTGTTAGAGCGGGGCTCTTTTGATTTTATAGTGAAAATGCATTAATTCTTTAAAAATCCTCTTCTCTCCTTCTGGGTATTAGGTAAACTAACTAAGTACGTAGATATGATAAGCAAAGAGCCTCTACCAAAGTTGTGTGAATTTTATGGCCTCTGGGTCAGTGTTTCTGGTGTTAGGGCGGGGCTCTATTGATTATATAATGAAAATGCATTAATTCTTTGAGAATCTTCTACTTTGCTTCTGGGTATTAAATAAACTAAGTACGTAGTTATGATAAGTAAGAGTGCCTCTACCAGTGTTAGGGCGGGGCTCTATTGATTTATTTTAATGTGAAAATACATTAAATCTTTGTAACAAAACTAAGCAATTGCTACGTGTATAGTTACATGTATGATGAGCAATGGTGCCTCTTTCAAAGTTGTGAATGCCATATCATCTAGCTTAAAACGTTAACCAAATTCAATTATTTGAAAGTTGTTGCACGATGCTCAGGTGTCATATAAGGCCCAAGGGCCTCTTGTATTGTTTTGTTTCAGTTTTGTTGTGTTGTGTTTGGGTGTTTTTATTATATTATCGTCGCAAGTAAAAAATAATCATCCAAATACATGAGAGACTGAGTGGTGAATCTTATTTCCAGCGAACGCAGATAACATGATTGTACATATGAATATTTGTAGTGTATATTTTAGTATGAATATTTTGTGTAATTATTTATTGATAATACATCAACAATGTGTCTGTCAGTGTAAGTCAAGTGGTAAGCTAATATATACCTTCTTCAAATTATTACTTTGGTGTAGAATTTAAGTGATTTTCTCCAAAGTAATACGGTAGATTACAAATCACATGGAATTAAGATTTTTGCGGTGCATCCTTTTTATTATCTTAAAAGCTTAGATTTAATTTATCATGAGAACTGTATAAACTGAATCAAAAGCGTTTACTCTTCATGACCTGCAAAGTGCATTCTGAAATGTATTAAAACTGTTCATCCCAGCTTATATAAGTTAAATTTCGGAAGTAACAAATTCATTTTTTATACTTTATGTTTTAATATAATATATAAAATGTTCGAAGTTTTCATTCAATAAAAATGCCTTTTTAACCAGAATGAAATTATTTTCAATGCTATTCCGTCAGAAATAAGTTCCATAACAAATATTGTTTCTGAAGGATGCTTAATAAGACTGGACATAATTACATTCATTCTTACTTCTTCTAAGGAACGCTCCGAATCATGGAATCATACTTGCACAATGTAGATGTAAGGGATGGAGAAAAAGGTGTGGCCTCAAAATAGATTCCTCCCGCTGCTCTTGGGTTGGATGCATCCTGGAAGATGTCTATTGAACTAAAAGTAGTCCCTAAAGAGGTTTTAATCAAGACACAAACCAAATCTATGAAACATACAGGGTGATAAATTATACTGGGATGTCACACTTGATAAAAAGCAGGGAATAAGAAAAGGAAATTTTAGAGAAATGCAATAATGAATCATGTATATGTAGCTTGCTTTCTGCCTTTGTGCCATGATGTTTTTTTTTAAACGCCCGGTAAATGTAAATTTTTTTATGCTGCAGTGAAGGATTTTTCTTTCTTAGCGGAGGATTCTTCCTTTATAATTTTCATCAAACATTAGAATGTCACAGGAAAAAAAATGAAAGATTGAATGTTCATTTTACCGGATAAAAAAATGACGTGCACCTTCGACTGAATCTACCATTGGATCTTTGTCAAAGCACGAATCAAATCAATTTACCTTTTATTAAAAACCTTTAATAAAACACTTTTTTATACATTTCTCTTGGCAGCTTATGAGAGAGAGAGAGAGAGAGAGAGAGAGAGAGAGAGAGAGAGAGAGAGAGAATAAAGTATCCTACCTCCTGAAATCTGTACTTTTTGAGTCATTGAATTTATTCTGTGAATGGTAAATTTATGGTCCACATGATTTTTTCCACGCAGAACGTTATCAATTACACAGAAAGGCAAAAAAAAGATATTTATTTTCCCAATCCAAAGGGTTGCTTATGACAAGTAAATAAGAGATCTTCAAAAATTAATTTTGAATGAATACACAGTGTTTGGCAGATCGACACCGTACAAGAGTAAATATAAAATTGATGGTGCGCAGAAATTGACTTCTACAAGTAAGCATTCAATTCAAGTCAACAAAAGAAATAAGTCGATAACAACAGAACATGTATCATGTACAGTTATCTATATCAAAACAACTTGAAGCAAAAGTTAGAATTGAATAGCACAAAAGTTAATATGTAACGGACTCCACACAATCGTAAATATCCAATGTACTCCTCATAAAAGTAAATATGAAATGGACTGCACACAATTGTGAATATCAATTTTGACTCCTAGAGGAAGAAAATATGAAATGGACTACGCACAATCACAAATGCCCAGTTTATTCCTCAAAAACGTAAATAAGAAATGAACTGCACACGAACATGACTATCAATAGGACCTTTCATTAGAATAAAATTCAAATCAGCTGTACATCACGTCCACTGCATCATAAAAGCTGAAATTTATGAATTTTGCATAAAGAAAATGTTTAAACATCAGTGTAACGCAGTGGTGATTGATACGTGCATGTGTGTCAATTTTTCATTTTTCTAACAACAATATGCTTAGTACCGTTTTCCTGTATATATTTCACGTGACACATGCGCTTAATAGTTTGCTTGCCTATGAAAAGACTCTTAATATTTAGATAAATAAGTCTTTGTTTTAGTGTATTTAATTTCATCACAATTTTTTATTAGAAACAAAAAGAAAATAAACAATGATTCTTTTGGTTTGGGAGAGGTTTTTAGTCACAATGAAACCTTTTAGGATAACTATGTGATTTGACGTCATTTTGTTCCCAAAGTGTAAGTGTTCATAGGGTCAGCAATGTTTGCCAAATTATTCAAAGAAGACGTTTGACTGAAATAACTTTGCCAACATTAAAACAATCATTCGAATTTGACCTCCAATGTTAATCCACTAAAAACTTATTTCACAGAAGTATTTCTTTTGAAAAGACCTTCTTCTTAATAACAATACTTTTGACTTCTGGGTTTAATTGTTTTTTACGAAACTGTCACCTTCATCAAAAGCTATAATGTCAGATAATGTCAAATGTAATTTGATATACAGGGGCATAATAGTTACACAATCACATCTTCATAATTATCAAACAATTTTTGCCGTTGTTTATGCGGCAATATATCTTCATCATCTGCATACGGAGTTTATATATTTATAAATTGTTTTGATACGCAACAGCATGCTCTATGCAAGATAATGAATGGTTCCTAAGACAAGGCTAATTATTCACAAACAATTTGATGAAGGATATGGAGATAACGAACAAATTTTAATCTCAAAGTCCATAAAACTATACAAAATAAGAGCAGAGCAAACGCAGACCCCGAAACATCATAGGAGGGATCAGGTGCCATGGAGGAGTGAGCAGTCGTTGCCAACCGGTCACACCCGCCGTGTGCTCCAGATCATGATCAGCAAATAACGGGAAAAATACGTCGTTGATTCAGTGTATCAATAATGGACTAACAACTGGTATGAAAAGCGTCAGTCAGCATTTGACTCAATGATTAATTGTATTTGCTGACAAGGTCATTGTATCGACCATAGAACTTATGAAATAATGACTGATGATATTCTTGTTTCGTCAACTTGCTTGTCAATAATTTACCTCATTTTGGAAATTGTTCATACGTAGAGCATGCTCTTGCGTATCGAATCAACTAAGATATATTTACCCGTATGCAGATTATGAAGGTATATTGCTGCATAAGTAAGGGAAGTTGACGATTGAAAAGTTAAAGTCATCGCGTTTATCATTTAGCTTGGTTGTTAGATTACCATTAGTGTCTTTTTCAATGTATTGTCAATTAACAGTGGTGATTTCCTTTCCTACGTCGATACGATATATCCTGGTGAGCTTGAGATAGAAGATACCACAGAGTCTGACACATCTGTTTCATACTTCGATATTTTACTTGAAAAAGACGTTAATGGTTACCTTACAACCGTGCTGTATGATAAACGTGACGACTTTAACTTTTCTATTGTCAACTTCCCTTACTAAGTAACGTTTTTCATACTACCTGTAATTTTAGTCCATTATTTATGCACTAAATTGATGACGGATTTTTCGTTATTTCTCGATCATGACAGGAGCACACGGAGGAAGTGATCAGTCAGCAGGGGTTGCTCACTTCTCCATGGCACTTGATCCCACCTCTGATGTGTCGGAGGTCTGTGTTTGTTCTGCTCCTATTATGTTTTGTTTTGGGGACTTAGATATTTAATACTGTTCTTTTTCTCAATATCCTTCCTTGTGATCCCGATATTTATCCAAGTATCATTACAAATTGATTTTTAACACCATAAATTGGGTACTATGAATCACTTAATTTTTGCGAAAGATTGTTTTCGTGAGATAGTCATTGATTCTTTATTAGCGAGAAAAAAATTTCACGAATTGTGGTTACATGTATTGTTCCTGTATAATCTTTAGGAATTTTATTATACGCCAGAATTACACCACTGTCTTTCGTAATAAGTCGAAAAAGTTCTTTTGAATAAAACATGATTTACAGTATCATGTTACAACGTTAAAGTGTCACAGACCCCGATGAAGAATCAGCATAAAACGTTAAAGTCTGACTTAATTATTATAATTTAGCAGAATATATAATGTTGAAATATCATCATATTATGTTGTTCAAAGTATAATGATATAAAGTAAAAATATCAGCAAACAATGGAAAAGTAAAAACCATTTATATTAAAGTATCAGCATACTGGTAAACTGTAGTTTCAGTATAAAAATTTTATAATATTAAAGTATAAGCGTGTAACGAATATTATCCACGTCTTACAGTTTTTTTTAGCAAAATAAGGAAAAACTTTTGGCATATTGAACTTCAAAATTAACTTAGGCATGTTCAATTAAAAAAAAATTATGTGATTAATTATATACAAGCATTATAATAAAAACCCGAACGCAAAAATAGAAGTCAACAACAACAAATCAAAATCCAGGCATAAAATGTGAAATTCCTTTGAAAATACGATATAATTTCGTAAAACCTGAATTTACTATCGTTAATACTTTTATTCTTAGTAGGATAAATTGAAAAATAGTTTACTTTAGTATATTTTGTGAGAAATCATGAGAAATTATACAGTAAGATGTATTTTAGACAAATGATAAAGAACAAGGAAATATTTTCTCATAAGGAGAAAAAGAAGAGACACAGTGTTATCTCTATCAGTCGTGTCACAGTAAACATGTTTTTCAACCAGTGCGGGTTGTCATCCCCTTTTGTGTGCAATCGTCTTTTTTTGTGCCGTCGCATTGATGATTACTTTTATGTACAGTTGGTGATATCTACTTTTGTACGTCGTCGATGTGATATTTACCTTAGTGTTCTGTGACTTGATATTTACTTTTTTGTGTTCAACTGATGAGATATATACATTGTATGTGTATGTACAATCGACTGATATTCTCTATTTTGCCTTGTCAGCAATTTACTTTTGTGAGCAGTCGACGTTACATTTTATTTTGTGTGCCGACTTTTGATATACACTTTTGTGTGCAACCTCTGTGTCATTTTTTGTTAGTGTACAGTCGATTTGACTATTGTTTATGTATAAAATTGACTTGAGTTTTACGTTTATTGTTTCGTTGATGTACTTGAGCACCCCAGCTTTTCTAATCAGTTATCGATGAGACATTTCTATTTGTGTACAGTCGATTTGATACTGCGTTCTCTATGAATCAGATTTGTTACTATGGTTTATCTATCCGCTCCAGTTTGATATCTGATATGTTGAAAAGAAGCAAGAAGAAAAAGACACCAGAAACGTCGTAATAGGTGGGATATTTTTGTTTTCTCAATTCTTCACGTCAGGCTTTATGTTATAGGTAAAACAATAAAATATGAATTTACTACATTTTACATCTCACTCTCTGTTTAACAGTCTGCTTTATTGTGTTTCCTTCTGGAATGCCAAGACTCTGTATTAACGTTTATGTGCTGTTGATTTACTTTAATGTCCTGCCTTTGATTCATTTTTTTCAATGAAATATATCCATTTTCTGTGTAGTCCATTTGAGGTAGCTTTTTCTTCAAATCAGATTTGTAACTACGTCGTATGCCTTTGCTCCAGCTAGGTAACTGATATTTTCAAAAGAGAGAAAAAATATAAAACCTCGGAAAAAGTGAGAAATTTCAATTAAGGAGGGGGAAGATCTTCAAAAGAAACAAGAAGAATAGACCAAAAACTTCGTAAAAGGTGAGATGATTTCTGTTCTCTTAATTCTTCAAGACGGGGACGCCGCTATATGAAATACGTTAAACAGCAAATACAATAAACATTTAATGACCTGTACCTCTCGTTTTTTAATTAACAGTCTGGTTTCCTGTATCACCTTTCTTTCGTGAATAAGACTCGATGGTGGATCATATGGGGGTTGTTTCTTTAACAGAGGTAGGGATTACAATTTCAATGTTCCTAAATTGTCCATTAAAGCTACAAAATATTTCGGACCCCCTCGTTTAGACAAAGTACTTTCATACCATTTTTAAGGATGTCTGTAAAGCATAGTGTGATTTAACTGGCAGAAATGAATTGTTAAGAAAAAAGTATATGCATGAAAACGATTTGTTTTCATTTTAACATGTATTTACACACACACACACTCTCTCATTCTCTCTCTATCTCTCTCTCCTAAACACACAAATATTCCTCACATTTATCATTCAAGAAAAATTATTTTGAACTCTAACACTCGACATGCATATATTATTCTGTTCAACAATCTTTTTTTTGTCTCAATTATGCTATGAGAAAAACTCTGTGATAAATGCTACAGTACAGAAAGGTCCATAAATATAAGGGTTCCTATTTTGTTAATGTTAGAATGAGAAACCACTACCCTGAAATTTAAACAAAAAGGACTAGAAATTTAATTGATTTTATTCTTATTGTGTTTAATATATAAATGTAAATTCATGAATACAACACCATCCCTCCAAAACATGAATGTTTGTGTTTAAAAATGGAATTTCAAAACAAAACCCTGTGTTATTACATTAAAAAACAGCAATTAGATATTGAAAGAAATGAAAATGTTATTTATTATAAGTTGTAAAGGGTTATAATCGATTAATATCCGATTATACAAAGCCGATTATTACCGATAATCGATTCTTATATTTTTCCAATTCCCCATCAATTATCTATAATAGGTTGTAAACGAAGATACGCTTTTGTCGGCTTCAAAAAAGTCGCATATTAAACAGAGAAAACAACTCAAACCAGCCTTAAGGCACATAAACCCTCTGCTCACTCATATAATATGTTGCTTGAACCTTAATAATTTCCAAAAGAAATTTAATTTCTAAATATAATACAAACAATTATAGCATATCTTGCGAGGCAAAATTAGACAAAAAAAGACACTTCAACTTGACTTATCTATCAAGGAATAATTGAATTTATGTTATTAAGAGTTATCTCTCTTATCAGAGTATCAATGAACCTTAATATGCCGATGGAAATGTAACCCATACTATAGATAGGCAAATGAAACGTTGATATTGAAATCATTTACACAAAGCGTCGAACATTTACAAGTTTTGTCTTTTTTGTATATAAACATGTAGAGCCATCTCGTGTTTCTGTTTTCGTACAGTTATGACTTTGTATTGTTTTTGAAATAACACATATGCAATCATCTTTTGCTTTTGTATATATACAGCCATCTACCCTTTTTGTATATCTACAACCATCCACTACTGTGGAATCATCATTGTTCGTGGAGGATCAATGTTCGTGGCTTTCGTGGGTAACCCTGACCCACGAATTTACATTCCCACGAACTCATACACAAACAACTGTTTTATTATTCATTTAAAGGTAAATAACGAAGTAGAATTTGTTATCAACGAAATTACGTCCACACGAACCAGAAACATTTTGTCTATCCACGAACTTTGACCCCCACGAATAAAAATGATTCCACAGTATTCTTCGATAACACAACCATGCATGATTTTAATATATAATAAACTGTAACGCTTTTTTCTCTATGGTGTGTTTGTTAGGCCTTTAGGTTCCACCATTATGACACCTTGTTAGGGCAATTAGCTTCAAGTATTAGGGAATCTGTAGCCTCGCTGGTGTCAAGACACTTAGAACATTTAGGGCATCTGTTAAGCGCCACTATGTTACATGTAGGACACTAATTAGACTCCAAGATTAGGGTACTAATCAGGTGCCATGATTAGGGCTTTTCAGAAAAACAAAATTCTTATCACTGTTTTATTTATAACAATAACATATTTTCAGGTAAAGCAAAAACATTACAAAATCATCTATTGTTTTATGAATAAAAATATTTATTGACAACTGAACGGGGATCATGCCATGTTACCGATTATCCAGGCAAAATTGTTTAAAGAATTAATTCTTATTGAAAAATTGAGATGGTAAGGAGACACTATCTTCATTACATCAGGGGAATCATATCAAAAACTGATCCCCTGGGTTTTTGTACGAATTAATAAAATCGAGTACAACGAACGACTAGAAGCATTAATTGGTTTTTAAAGAGGCTGGCGGGTGGCAGCCATTTTTAGACAATTTCAATCTCCTTTAAAAGGAGAGATCCACATAAAGATATACAATAATTTAAAACTAAAATTTATGAATTTTTTCTTTGCCAAATGATAATTGACAGCTAAAGATACCGTATCTAAAAAAATAGTTAAATCTGGTGGTTAATTTGGGATTAATTTGTTGACCCACCAGCCCCCTTAAAACAACACCTTAGCAGATTTGGTCATTTGAATTTATCTTCCAAGATAACAGTTATGTTATGTTGTGCACAACAGATACGTAATTGATTTCTTGTGGTAACAAGAAATGCTGACCTAAAATAAAGACAGCTTGATTTAATAGATATGGGATCTTGAATATAAAATTAATCGTTCATGGACGAAGATTGTAAAACTTTTGACTCCCAGAATGATACTTAAACATACTACGTCAAGTGAAGTCACAGCCTAGACGTTTTTAATGTCTACTGAAATTTGAAGAGGTAGATCGAGCTGCTAAATTAACTAGAATCAAAGTTCTCTGCTCACCCAAATAGTCTTACTTCAATGTAATTATCTATCTCTTATAGTTGAAGCAAAAAGTTTTTTTCAGATTTTTTTTTATTCCATATTAATTTTTCTCCTTTTACTTTGCCGGAAATGCCTCTCAGACTGTTTAATTTTTAGCGTGTGACAAGCATAAAAGTTACAATCTCATGTTTTGTTGATTTGATTGATAAACGTCTAAAATATTGTCAGAAGAATTAAAATAAAACTTAATAAACTATTCATAAAAATATTTATGCTCAACTAATTTTATATAAAACTGATAACTCTGCACATACATCTGTCTATATGCTATTTTCTCTGGGGAAAAACTTGAAATAATGTAAAAAATGAATATGTAGCTTCAATAGTATTTTTTTGTAAGAGGTCAGAGTAGATACGATAAAGAACTCTTACTGCTTCTTCCGTTAGTTTCATGTATAAGTCTAACTGTCCAATTATATCTGATGTGAATGAACCAATGTTACATTGCAATAAGTCTTTTTTTTTAATTTGTCAATTTCCTTTATTTTATGTAACTGTAAAGCTAGGGATTCTTTGATCTATTTAAGATCTAATTTATTTTTATATGTTCACATTTACACGGTTTTCTGCAAATAAAATGAATGCAAACGAATTGCATTCATAACACCATATTTACATTTGCTAATGTCTTTCCTAATATAACAATGTTAATAAAATTCAATTTTCAATGTCATGCAGTTGGTCACATGATCATACATTCTTTCGTATGGAGAGCAAACTGCAAGAGGAATTAGGTTGTAAACGAAGATACGCTTTTGTCGGCTTCAAAAAAGTCGCATATTAAACAGAGAGAACAACTCAAACCAGCCTTAAGGTACATAAACCCTCTGCTCACTCATATAATATGTTGCTTGAACCTTAATAATTTCCAAAAGAAATTTAATTTCTAAATATAATACAAACAATTATAGCATATCTTGCGAGGCAAAATTAGACAAAAAAAGACACTTCAACTTGACTTATCTATCAAGGAATAATTGAATTTATGTTATTAAGAGTTATCTCTCTTATCAGAGTATCAATGAACCTTAATATGCCGATGGAAATGTAACCCATACTATAGATAGGCAAATGAAACGTTGATATTGAAATCATTTACACAAAGCGTCGAACATTTACAAGTTTTGTCTTTTTTGTATATAAACATGTAGAGCCATCTCGTGTTTCTGTTTTCGTACAGTTATGACTTTATATTGTTTTTGAAATTACACATATGCAATCATCTTTTGCTTTTGTATATATACAGCCATCTACCCTTTTTGTATATCTACAACCATCCACTACTGTGGAATCATCATTGTTCGTGGGGGATCAATATTCGTGGCTTTCGTGGGTAACCCTGACCCACGAATTTACATTCCCACGAACTCATACACAAACAACTGTTTTATTATTCATTTAAAGGTAAATAACGAAGTAGAATTTGTTATCAACGAAATTACGTCCACACGAACCAGAAACATTTTGTCTATCCACGAACTTTGACCCCCACGAATAAAAATGATTCCACAGTATTCTTCGATAACACAACCATGCATGATTTTAATATATAATAAACTGTAACGCTTTTTTCTCTATGGTGTGTTTGTTAGGCCTTTAGGTTCCACCATTATGACACATTGTTAGGGCAATTAGCTTCAAGTATTAGGGAATCTGTAGCCTCGCTGGTGTCAAGACACTTAGAACATTTAGGGCATCTGTTAAGCGCCACTATGTTACATGTAGGACACTAATTAGACTCCAAGATTAGGGTACTAATCAGGTGCCATGATTAGGGCTTATCAGAAAAACAAAATTCTTATCACTGTTTTATTTATAACAATAACATATTTTCAGGTAAAGCAAAAACATTACAAAATCATCTATTGTTTTATGAATAAAAATATTTATTGACAACTGAACGGGGATCATGCCATGTTACCGATTATCCAGGCAAAATTGTTTAAAGAATTAATTCTTATTGAAAAATTGAGATGGTAAGGAGACACTATCTTCATTACATCAGGGGAATCATATCAAAAACTGATCCCCTGGGTTTTTGTACGAATTAATAAAATCGAGTACAACGAACAACTAGAAGCATTAATTGGTTTTTAAAGAGGCTGGGGGTGGCAGCCATTTTTAGACAAATTCAATCTCCTTTAAAAGGAGAGCTCCATATAAAGATATACAAAAATGATCAAATTTGAAAACTAGAATATATGAATTTTTTCTTTGCCAAATGATAATTGACAGCAAAAGATGCCGTATCTAAAAAAAAAAATAGTTAAATCTGGTGGTTAATTTGGGATTAATTTGTTGACCCACCAGCCTCCTTAAAACAACACCTTAGCAGATTTGGTCATTTGAATTTATCTTCCAAGATAACAGTTATGTTATGTTGTGCACAACAGATACGTAATTGATTTCTTGTGGTAACAAGAAATGCTGACCTAAAATAAAGACAGCTTGATTTAATAGATATGGGATCTTGAATATAAAATTAATCGTTCATGGACGAAGTTTGTAAAACTTTTGACTCCCAGAATGATACTTAAACATACTACGTCAAGTGAAGTCACAGCCTAGA